CCACCCCCGTCTGTGGAACAATTTTCTTCCACAACACTAATCCTGGATTCAAAAAGGTTGAGGACCACTGCATTAAAGGACCTTTCTTTCATCTCAGGCTTCAGAGTACACCTCTTCTGCCAGGGTTCCTGATGTCTTTGTTCTGTGGTGTCTTCTCCCACTCACTCTTCCTCCAGACTCCAACTCCAGTGGCTATTTAAGTTTGAGAAGGGCAAATGGGTCATTTGAACATGTCTTTGAACAACTTTTGAAATTATTGGCTGCTCAGAGTTTCACTAATGTCCCCTCCTCAGGGGCAGGAACTTGGGTTTCTGGCATCTTGGCACTGAGGATGCTGGCAGAGTTCTAACTGCCTCCCCCGCGTCTCCCAGGCTCCTGTAGGCCTTCCCGCCCTCACGGCCTCTAGCATTCATCAGTGCCAGCCTGACTTCCTTTTGGTCAGTTTCTGGAGTTTTAGTTATTGTTGTAGAATTGTTTCTTCCTATTTGGTTTTCCTGTTTAGTTGTTCCGGCCTGTGTTGAGATAAAATTTTTCTCTTTGGCCTGTCATATTTTTGTCATATTAGAGAGGAGACTAAGAAGCAAAAAGATGTCTTCTTCTTTCAGTATAGAGTCCCTCTAAAATTTTATCCATAGCAATGTTATTGCAGCAACTTTGGAAGGATTGTTCTGGAAGAATATGTTTTCATGTTGAGCAATGCAAATTTGTGGGCACAGGAGAAACGTTTCTTATCTGGTTGCCCCTTCCAAAACTGGCCTTCTTAGATAACATAATACAGGCAGAAATCCAAATGTAATTTTTTGAAAGTAATACCAGTCTTAATGGGGAATATTAGCATAAAAATATCATAGATGACATTTTATTATCTATATATAGTATACTTTTAATAATCATTTTTTCCTTTCAGCTTTTTGACTATATCTAAAAATTTGCTTCTTTGTGTAGGTGTACAAAAAATGTGTAAGTTAAACAAGAATTAGCTTACCAATATATTAATGATAAGATTCTTTTTTTTAAAACTTTCAGTCAATCCAAATGAAATGTGTAGCTTTGAATAAAATGGAAAGGTTCTCTGGGTGCCTGGGCCCTTAGAGTCGGTGCTTTGCAAGTTATTTACATGTCATCCCAACCTGTTTACTTTGTTATCTCTTCATAACTCATTGGCTGAGCAAAACGTTGCTTGCTACTAGTTATCGTATTCCATAAATACTGTCTCAAAGATTAGTGGACTCAAACGAGAAAAGCAGAAATGACTGCTAAGAAGAAAGTCAACTGTAACACAGTACACTGCTTTTCATTAGGATTTTATGCCTTCCACTACTTGGAAATTTTCATTATTGAACTATTTTGTGATACTTAACTGTCATACATGTTTGCTTCCCAATTAAACACTATGACACAGATTGCCAGTGGCAAAATGCTGCGTGAGGCCATTTACACACAAATATGCTGCTTTATTTGTTTTTGCTTTGTTTTGTTTTGTTGAGCCAGGGTCTCACTCTGTTGCCCAGTCTGGAGTGCAGTGGCACAGTCATGGCTTACCATAGGCCTCCACCTCCTGACTAGCTGTAACTATGGGCTCATGCCATGCCTGGCTAAGTTTTTGATTATAAAGACGAGGTCTCGCTATGTTACCCAGGCTGGTCTCGAATTCCTGGTCTCAAACAATCCTCCCACCTTGGCCTCCCAGAGTGTTGCAATTACAAACGTGAACCACTGCACCTGGCCTGTTTTTTCAGTTTTATATGCAGTTCAGGGCCACAGCTTGCCTCATGCATGTGCTGTCTTTTGCGCACTTGAAACTGAAGGCTTCTCTAAGGTACTGTGGTATGTTCTTTCTGACAGAGCTAATGTCGTGTGAGGAGCTACATTCTATATTACACTTGGTGCTTCAGGCTGGGAATATCATGAATGCCGTAAGTAGAATCTAAGAAAGTTGAAATGCTGTATTTCAATCCTCTTCATCCATCTAAAGGTGTGTGTGTACACATACATATAATTTTTTCTTGATTTGTCTTCTTCAGGGAGGGTATGCTGGCAATGCGGTAGGATTTAAACTGTCTTCTTTGCTCAAATTGGCAGACACAAAAGCAAACAAACCTGGGATGAATCTTCTGCACTTTGTTGCACAGGTATGTGGAAATCATTGATACCCAGGGAGAATGCAGGGATCCCTGTGGAAGTGATGAAGTTTTTCGCAGGCATGAGGTGGTATAAGACAGAGTTAGGAAAGGGCCTGGTGAGTTCTAGAAGGTTCTGTCTGCAGAAGCACTGTTTGCACATTCCTGAGTTGAACTGCACCTAGGGTTCTAGGGCTGGAGGGATGTTGGGGGAACAAGGACGAGAGGTTGGTGAGGCCGGTTATGGAGTCCAGGGCCAAAGGTGAAGAATTAGGATTTCATGCTTCAACGGCAGGGATCCAGCAGAGACTTGTGCATAGCATAATGGCTTGACCGATGTTTTGTTTTTGTTTTTAGGAAAATAAGGCAGTTTGGAGGCTGGGTTGGAGTGGAGGGAGATCTTTAGTGATAGGGATGTGTCTTGGTGGAAGTTGGTTAGCTTTGTCTGGTGAGGATTGAGGAAGGTGATGACCATCCACACAGGGAGCAGAGGACTGTATTTGTGGGTATTTCTGGTATGGAGTTGACTAGACTTGTGGCCAGCGTGTGTGGAAAGACACTCTCTTTCTCTGTGAGCCATGCACTGGGTGCCGCACTGCCAGCACAGGGCTTGGGGTCTGACTATCTATTGCTTCCTTCGCTGACTGGATCTCTGTAACAGCACAATAACTAGATACAAAGTGAAAAATCAGCCAAGGACTGTATGCCGGTAAATGATTGTAACTACTCGTACTGACTTACTTTTCCTTTATTGAATCACCCTGTTGTTTTGACATCAGTGACATAGACAAAGCAGAGAATGGGACAGGACTGAGCAGAGAATGGGACAGCACTGGGAGGTTTGGACTGTCCTTTATAGCTGTACTTCCTCAGACAAGTTCCTTAAATCTGAAGACCCTCAGTTTCTGTATCTGATGATGGAAGTAGTGATAACTTACCTCAAAACTGTGGAACTGAGAGCGCTGAAGGAGCAAATTCCATGAATCTGCTGAGCTCAATGTTTGTCATATAGTCAGCTCTCCATAAATAATAATACACACTCTATTTTAAATCTTATTTTAATTTATTTTTTTGAGTCAAGGCCTCCCTTTGTCACCCAGGCTGGAGTACAGTGGCACAATCACAACTCATCTCAGCCTCAACCTGCTGGATTCAGGCGATTCTTCCACCTCAGCCTACTGAGTATCTGGGACTACAGGTGCATGCCACCATGCCCAGCTCATATTTTAAATTTTCTGTGGAGACAAGGTTTTACTATGTTGCCCAGGCTGATCTCGAACTCTTGGCTCAAGCAATCCTCCTGCTTTGGCCTCCCAAAGTGCTGGGATTACAGGAGTGAGCCATGGTGTCCAGCCGGATACACACCATTATTACTATATCCTGTAAAAGACAAGGGTCGTGTTTAACTCAGCAGGTAATTGAAAAGTTAACTTTCAGGTGTGAAAAGACGAAACTGTGTTCCTTGTCTAGCATGGATTGTAGGTAGTCTTCCAGCAGACCTCTTTTGGATTCCAGGCCTACGTGCTCTATATAACTCGGTCCCTGCCCACGTGGGAAAGGCTCCTGGGTCAGTCACTGCTCCCATCCTACCAGCCTTCCTCTTACCCTATGAACAGGTGAAGAATCCAAACACCTCCATGGCGTATGTACCTTCTGATTAAATTCAGTCTGCAAACTGGTTTAACAGCTGAAGGTATCTCAGTCACGTAAAGGCATACCCACAGGCAGGGTTGTGTTTAAGCAGGATATATTGGATTCTCTCAGAAACAATGGGCCCTGCTAAGCTCTAGCACCTTCTGTTGAGTGTTCATGCACATGAGTTGTATTTCATGTCAAAATCCATTGCTCTGGGGAGTTAAATGTGTCTTGAAGGGTGTTCTGGTAAAACTTACTAAGGATATTAGAGCTCATATCTCAGTGAATTGCCTGGAATGTATGTATCAAGTTTAAAAACAGGAGCAGTGAATTTTAAGCCCTAAGAAAATGATTTCCTTTCGGTTTTATCCCTACAGTGAGAGAAAATTCTGTTTTTGTTTCAGGAAGCCCAAAAGAAAGATGCCATTCTTCTAAACTTTTCAGAAAAACTACATCATGTTCAGGAGACTGCTAGGTAAGCAAAGAAGACTGGAAGTGAATTGTGAGAATTCAGGATTTTTTTAACTGCCTTCTTATGAAAACTGACGAATACTTAAAACTTTTGGATCCCAGCCTGAACTGTAAAAAGTTTTGTCTTGTTGAACTTTCAGACTTTCTTTTCATTTGCTTAACAAAAGAAGTGTGGAATCTAAGTGTTTTAATTTATTTTTTTTTTTTAGTTGGGGTCTCTGTTGCCCAGTCTGGGGGACAGTGACACATTCATGGCTCACCACGGCCTCCACCTCTTGGACTCAGTTGACCCTTTCACCGCAGCCTCCCAAGTAGCTAGGACTACTAGGACCACCGTGCCTGGCTCATTTTTAAATTTGTTGTAGAGACAAGATCTCACTTTGTTGCCCAGGCTGGTCTTAAAATTCCTGGCCTCAAGTGATCCTCCCACTTTGGCCTCCCAAAGTACTGGGATTGCAGGCGTGAGCCACTGCGCCCTGCCTAATTTTTATTTTTACACTAAAAAAAATTGTCATTCTAACGAATCTTATCAGTATTTAAAAATATGGATTAAGACCTTCAGATCCCTCCACACCCCAGAACAGAACTTAAACAACACAGCTTGTTACCTTGGGATTTGGTATATATCAATCTCACTTTCACTGCTGTACTTCACTGTTTACTTGTATACTCTAACTTGGTACATTTATTTTCTGTTGCACTAACAGGGGTTGGAACCACACCAAGAGTTGGGAGAGGTTTTTATTTTAAATTAGTCACTCAGCTTTTCAGAAAAGTATCTACCAAACATAAAGCTCCATTGACATAACTCTAATTTGCTTCTGATCCTGATTAAGATGTGATTTTAATGTAGCTGTTTTCTGTGCGTATGTGCTGTTTCTGAGTTCTGTGTGGATTTTGTTTGTTTTTAGTTTTTTTGTTTGAGTTGGAGTCTCACTCTGTCACCCAGGCTGGTATGCAGTGGCAGGGTAACTATTTACCACAGCCTCTATCCCTTAGGCTTCTTAGGTGATCCTTCCACCTCAGCCTGCTGAGTAGTTGGGATTACTGGCATGTGCCACCATGCCTGGCTAATATTTTTTATTTTTTTTGTAGAGATGAGATCTTGCTATGTTGCCTAGGCTGGAGTTGTTTTTAAATTTATGGTACATATCCATAGTATATTCATCTGGTAAATGTTTGATAAACAGCTCTTTGAGAGAAAAAAAAAACAACAGCACCCTGATTTGTAGCATTTGCTAATTTCCTTGCTGTAAACACCACTACGGTGGCTGGCTTCACACTGTCCATGTGGCATTACTGAAAGCAGATTGGGAAAAGCAGCTGGCTATCATGAGCTGGTGCAGCATACCACATCATGCATCCACGTAGTTTATGTCTTATACGTATGGAGTGACTCTGTCCAACTCTGACAGCTGTGAGCCACATGCATATAAACAAAGGGACCAGAGTTCATAGCCCTGTCATTGGTCAGTATCTTGATGTTACTGACTGTGATTACATGTCTTTCTCAAAGTGGGATTATCATTTCAAAGGTATGAACAGTTCGTGATTCATGTTTACAGATCACCAGATCATTCTCCAAAAAGAATGAACATCTTACAAGATATGAACTGTTTTGGTTTTGAATTACTAAAAGAAATTCGTGTGGGCATATTTTTACTCTGACTAGTGGAGAAATGTTTCTAAGAGTCGAGAGAGAGTTAACGATTATGTTTTTTGAACTGGTGTTTCTGGTTGGATTTCATCAGATGTTTAGCCAGATATTGCCTTAGAAAAACCCTTTTCAGCAAGGTATGTTTACCTGAAATGGAAGGTGAAGCATACTTGTGAAGTACAAACAGATCTCAGTTGGTCGCCAATGACCGATGAAGGTGAGAAACTTTATTGCACACACGCACAAATTAGAATTGACAGTGGAAGCATGAATGCATCCTAATTTGTAGATTTCAGGCTTCACCTGCTCACTTCACAGAGTGACAGAATCATCATCCAGGATTAGCAACAAACATTGCCTGCCTTCTTGTGGGCTAAAGCATACGTATCCTAGAGTCCTGCTGGCCTTTAGGTTATTTTTTATTTTCTTTTCTTAGAGACAGGGTCTCTCTCTCTCTCTGCTGCAGTGGGTGATCATAGCTCACCATAACCTCGAACTTCTGGGCGCAAGCAATTCTTCTACCTCAGCCTCCCAAGTAACTGGGACTATAGGCATGCATCACCACGCCTTGGCTCATTCTTTTATTTTATTTTATTATTTTATCTTTTGTAGAGACAAGGGTCCCACTATGTTGCTCAGGCTGATCTCAAACACCTGACCTCAAATGATCCTCCTGCCTCAGCCTCCCAAAGCACTGGGATTACAGGCGTGAGCCACTGCACTGAACCCCTGATTTTTATTTTTCAATGCTTATTGCATAAAGGTGTCCAGACCTGGTTTATGAAAGACTTTCCAAGTCCTATGGTTTTGGTTATCTCACCAGCAGAGTTACAGCCTGCTTGCTTTGAGCCAGTGTATATCTTTGGGAAGGAGTTTCCTCTTAAAAAAACAGCACATGGCCAGGCTCCGTGGCTCAGCCTATAATCCCAGCACTTTGGGAGGCTGAGGCGAGTGGATTGCCTGAGCCCACAGGTTCGAGACCAGCCGGGGCAACTTGGCGAGCCTTCGTCTCTACATTAAACAGAAAAAAAAAAATTAGCTGGGCACAGTAGTGCATGCCTGTAGTTCCAGTTACTTGGAAGGCTGAGGTGAAGGGATCGCCAGAGCCCAGCAGGTCAACACTGGGGTGGCCATGAGGGTGCATGCAAGATCTAAACACAAGGTAATGCAAATAATGCAATGGCAGCAGCTCTCCCCCTCTGCTTCCAGGGTTGAGCCGCGATTGGTCTCGTGTGATGTGCCCGCGTAACACATGGCTTCCTTGTGCCAACTCCCATCTCTCTGCTTCTCCTTTCAGATTATCTCTGGATAACACGGAGGCAGAACTGCACTCGCTGTTTGTCAGGACGAGATCGCTACAAGAAAACATCCAGCGGGATGGTGAACTTTGTCAGCAGATGGAAGATTTCCTTCAGGTGTGTAGGTGACTCAAATCAGTCCCTGTCACTTGTTCCAGCAGCACGGCCGAGTCTGGCTCCTCTGCATGGGTGTATTTGTGGATGCAACAGGTTCCCATTCAGACTTTTCCCCCAAGTTAGGAAAAGGAGCGTTGTACTTGCAATACCCATTCTTTGCTGAGAGTGTTGGGTATGGTCTAAACCTAAGATACACGTCCAGGGACTGGGCTTCTGTTTACCATCGCCCAGTCTGCACTTTGTTGCAGGGAGATGGTGTGAAGAGAAAAGCTGTGGAGTATAGGGAAATGGGGTGTAGCAAAGTGGTGTGAAGTGTTAATCGGTGGAGGATAGGGAAATAGCGTGTAGAGAAATGGTGTGAAGTGAAAGGCTATGGAGTGTAAGGAAATGATGTGATGTGAAAAACTAGAGTGTAGGGAAATGTTGTGTAGTGAGACGGTGTGTGGGGAGATGGTGTGTAGGGAAATGGTATGAAGTGATAATCTATGGAGTATAGAGAAATGGCGTGAAGTGAAAAGCTGTGGTGCATAGGAAATGGTGTGTAGTGAAATGGTGTGAAGTGATAATCTGGAGTATAGAGAAATGGTGTGAAGTGAAAAGCTGTGGTGCATAGGAAATGGTGTGTAGTGAAGTGGTGTGAAGTGATAATCTGTGGAGTGTAGGGAAATGGTGTGACGTGAAAAGCTGTGGAGTGTAGGGAAATGGTGTGTAGGGAAATGGTATGAAGTGAAAAGGTGTGGAGTGAGTGAATTGTTGGCTTGGAGCTTACACTCGGACTGCCCCTGGCCACTCAAGTTTTGGTTCTAAACCAATCGAAGGTTTGGATGACAGAATGAAACTCCCCAGAAATCATCAAGACACCTGAGAACTTGGGCTGTCGTTTCTTCACTTGTTTATCTTAAGCAGCAAGCCGCGTTTTGGCATGTTTTATAATGAGAGCAGCAAACACGCTAGCTGTGCCGATCAACACCCAGAACACATCGGGCCCACAGGGTGTGTCAGGAGCTGCTCCGAATAACATCAACAGAAAACAGCAGAGTGGACATGTTTGTGACAGCTCATTGTGACTCACTAATCACATAGTCTGACAGACTTCTTTTATCTTCCTTATTTTAAAAAAAAGTGGCACCGTCTCATGCTTTTAGTCTTCAGCGAAATGGTGTGCCGCCTTAAGTGTGTTCGTGCTGTGAGACCCGGGGCAGAATCCACATGGCAGCGCTGCCCTGGCACTGGGGAGGAACAGCGTGATCCCAAGGTCGTGCCAGCTGAAGCCTTCACTCATTAATTCAGGGACTTCCGAATATTAGGAGCTTCCGTTGACATCAGCAGACACTCAATTTTGTTGGGCTGTTCTGTGAGTTTATTTTTACTATAAAACATGTACCCTGTCTTTTCTTTTAAGTATAACCAAACTACTTTTCTTATTAAAATGCACAGATTTTTTTCAGTTGCAACAAAAGCAAACACCACCACCCCCACCACAAAAATTCTAAACACTAAGCACAGCTAGATGCATAAAACAAATTTAGAGATTCAAGAATAAGGACCTGACTGGGCACAGTGGCTCATGCCTGTAATCTCAGCACTTTGGGAGGCTGAGATAAGAGGATTGCCTGAGTCCAGTTGGGCAACATAGCAAGACTTCATCTCTACAAAACATCAAAAATTTAGTCAGGCGCGGTGGCGTACCTTATAATCCCAGCTACTCAGGAGGCTGAGGCAGAAGGATCACCTGAACCCAGGAGGTTCAAGGCTATGGTGAGCCATTGATTGTGCCACTGCATCATCATTTTGAGTGAGACCCCAACTAAAAAAAAAAAAAGTCATAAGGACCATCACACATTCAGATTAAACTTTTGGAGATTTCATTTCCCCATGTTCTTACACTAAATAATTTTTTCTTTTTGAGTTGGAGTCTCACTGTCACCCAGACTGGAGTGCAGTGGCTGCTCCCCACCACCGCAGCCTCGACCTGCTGGGCTCTGGCGATCCTTCCGCCTCGCCCTTCCAAGTAGTCGGAACTACAGGCATGCACTACCACGCCTGGCTAATTTTTGATTTATTGTAGAGATGAGGTCTCGTCAAGTTGCCCAGAAGGGTCTCGAACCCGTGGGCTCAGGCAATCCACTCACCTCAGCCTCCAAAAGCGCTGGGAATACAGGCTGAGCCACTGAACCCAGCTTTTACACTAAATATTGACATCTCATACTAAGTATTAGTACAGAAAGTTTTAGGATGAAGAACAGCTCTGCCTTATTTCATCTCCAGACTGCTTTTCAACAACAAGCAATTGTGTTTAAGCTCTTCTTTCTGTTTGTCGTTTTTCTTTCTGTAAATAAAATGCTCCATACAGTTACTTTTTGTACTTTTCTTTCTTTTTTTTTTTTTTTTTGAGTTGGAGTCTCGCTCTGTCACCCAGACTGGAGTGCAGTGGCCGCTCTTGGCCACAGCTGCCTCTACCTGCTGGCCTCCAGCGATCCTTCCGCCTCAGCTTTCCAAGTAGCTGGAACTACTGGCATGCGCTACCATGCCCGGCTAATTTTTTGATTTATTGTAGAGATGAGGTCTCGCCAAGTTGCTCAGGTGGGTCTCGAACCCGCGGGCTCAGGCAATCCACTCACCTCAGCCTCCCAAAGTGCGGGATTACAGGGTGAGCCACCGAGCCCGGCTGTACTTTTCTTTCTTAAATTTAGTTGTTTTTTTTTTTTTGTTTTTGAGTTGGGGTCTGATTCTGTTGTCCAGGCTGGAGTGTGATGGCACACTCATGGCTCACCCCAGCCTCGACTTCCTGGGTCAAATGATCCTTCCATCTCAGCCTCCCGAGTAACTGGGACTAAAGGCCCATGCCACGATGTGCAGCTAATTTTTTTTTTTTTGGTATAGATGAGGTTTTGCTACATTGCCTAGGCTGGTCTCGAACTCCTGGGCTCCAGCAGTCCTCCTGCCTCGGCCTCCCAAAGCACTGGGATTACAGGCATGAGTCACCATGCCTGGTCTCAGCTTCTTTTTGAATAGGTGAGATAAACATTTTCAGTGTAGGATAGGACCAACCCACGCAGATTTCTGAATGCCAGTCTGAGCACTAGGCTTTATGCTATGAGCACTCGGGAACCATTCAAGGTTTTTTTTTGTTTTTTTTTTTGAGTTGGAATCTCACTCTGTCGCCCAGACTGGAGTGCAGTGACTGCTTCCGGCCACCGCAGCCTCCACCTGCTGGGCTCTGGCGATCCTTCCGCCTCAGCCTTCCAAGTAGCCGGAATTACAGGCGTGCGCTACCACGTCTGGCTGATTTTTCGATTTATTGTAGAGATGAGGTCTCGCTGCCCAGGCGGGTCTTGAACCCACGGGCTCAGGCTGTCCACTCACCACAGCCTCCCAAAGGTGCAGGATTACAGGCTGAGCCACCGAGCCTGGCCATTCAAGGTTTTTGAGCAGAAAGGTAACGGGAACAAATACATTTTTACAGACCTAGTTCATTCAGTATTTTGACCCTTTGGAGAAGAACTGGTTGGAACTTTGTGGCAGGCAAGCTTAGAGATGTGAAGTTGAATTTGATACCACAGCTGCTGACCTATTGTCATTCATACCTTGCCAGTGCAGCTTTGGACTTTTTCATTGGTGGTCCTAACCATGTGGCACTCGTGGCAGACAATTCCGATCACGGTCATCATTCAGATCCGTGTTCAGAATGTTCCATTTCCCAGGTCCGAGGGATGACTTCAGCACGATTAAGTTTTTCCCTCCTGGTGTTTTGTCCATCCCCACAGGAGCCAACGATGAGACATTGGAGGCGGGGCTAAGCGCCTGTGTAGATTCTTTTCAAGGGGCCTGTTTTTCTGCAGTTGAGCTGTTCTTGGCTGGAATCCATCTTTCCTCCTGTGGAAGAATGACAGGCAAAGATTTATCCTTTCATGAATACCATTGTCTCCGTAAAGAAAAATACGGTGTGAACGCGCACGCTGCCTTGGGCTACTGACTCAGATGGTTACTTTCTCTGGTATTTGGTCTCCTGAATAGTTCTGGTTTTCTACGGCCTCTTGCATGTGTTTGATTTAAGGAAAGGGCGTTTAAGGGGGAAAGTGGGGTGGAGTGGGTAGGAATTTCTCTGTAGGTTCCGTCCCCTCCAGGCACGTTCAGGCAGCTGTTCCTCTCCTGGAAGATGAGCATCTTACAGCTTTACCATGTTCTAGGCCCATGCCCTCTTCACTTAAAGAGTAGTTTTTCAAATATGAACCTTTAAAAAAAAAGAAAAACATGATACAGGTGATTTCATGAAGTAACATACTTCCTCCATTCCTTCTTCATACAAGGGGAGACCCCAAAAACCTGGAATTATCTTTTGAAGGACAGGCCCCTTGTAGTACAGGCTTCCCCCACTAGGTAAGTGTCTCGGAACCCGTCAGCATCAGTGTATCAGTTGGTGTTGTTGTGAGAGGCTGTGTCTGGCTTCAGGGAATTTTTTTTGGAGATTTCTTTCAACACGTTTTCCCATTTCATTATGGGTGACTTACGAACGCATCTGCCCACACTGCCCTGAATGTTCAGTGGTTTTTCCCAAAACAGCATGGCCACATGCCCCACCCTCCCTGTTCACCCAATTTCACCCTGAGCGACTTTTTTTGTTTGTTTCCCTGGATGAAAAACGTCCTCAAAAGGGAATGTTTTGCCTATGTGGGAGAGGTGGAACAAAAAAATGGCAGAAGCACTAAAAGGCATCAAAATTGACGAGTTCCAAAACTGTTTTGAGCAGTAGAAAAAGCATCTCGATAGGCGTATTGCATCAAATGGAGAGTACTTGGAAGGTGATTGAAGTTTAAGCATGTAAGAATAAATACATGACTTTTTATAAATAAATTCTGAGGTTTGTATAAGCGTTATTCCCCAGTAGACAAGAAAGCAATGTAAGACTTCGTGTGATTCCAAATACTCCATCCTGCCGCACGATGCTCCTTCCTCCCACAGCTCAGCATGCCAGCTGTCACTGAATTCCCATCAGGAAAGTGTGCCTGTGGCCCGTGGACATGGTGACTACCATGCCAAAAGGCTGGGGAATCCGTTGGAGGAAAGCAAGCTTCCTTCATTCCCACCACCTTGTTGAGACAGGACCAGAATCATTAGTGGCCTCAGAGACTTATTTGTCCTAGAAGAATTAGGAGAAAATAAGGAAGTCCAGAGGGTGGACTTGTATAGGACAGTAATTCCTAACCATGGGGACCCATCAGAATCTCCTGGGAAGGTTTAATAAAATATTAGTGCCGGGTCCACTCCAAACCTTTGGCATTGCAAGGGTGGGGTACGAGCATGGACTATTGCCAGTCCTGGCTGACTTGGATCTGCACCCCTGGTTTAGTCATGAGGGCTTCAGACCTGCAGGGGGTGATCCTGACCCCGACAGAACCCATTTGGGACTAAGTTTAAACTCCCTCTCAACAGGACAACAGTGACGACTCTTCAATACAGCAAGTCACTTCACAGACCTTAAGGCAAATTCTTGACTATTATAGACATGGAAGAACAGCTCCAAAATGGGTCTTCCTTGATAAAGCCCACTGTATACCCTGGTAATTTTTTCAATGACATTAAAGGTGAACATTTGCTAGTGGCCTTCTACAGGTGAAAACTCTTCAGTCCATTGTCACCTCTAGGTCTCACACAAGTGTCTGGCTCGCTTTCCCCAAGGTTTTGTTTGGGTTGAATTATTTTCCTTCGGCCCTGAGCACATTGGCCTTGCATAGAGCCTTCCTGTCCCTGAGCCCTGAAACTGAAACCCAGGAGCGTGCCTTCCCAGTCCGGCTGCCATGAGGCCCGGTCAGCTGCCCGTGTTGACCTCAGTGTGTGCTTGTTTTTCCACAGTTTGCCATAGAAAAGCTGACAGAACTAGAGCACTGGAAACAAGAACTGCAGGACGAGGCCCACACCCTTATAGATTTTTTCTGTGAAGACAAAGAAACCATGAAACTGGACGAATGCTTTCAGATATTTAGAGACTTCTGTACCAAATTCAACAAAGCAGTTAAGGTACGACTGGCGACGTCTCTGTGTTCTCAGCTGTTTGGGTTTTTATTTTTCTTCTCCGCTACCTATTCCTCTGCCCATGGCAGAAAGACAGTTCAGCATCTCCATGGGTTCCGGAATGCCCGGCACAGGTGGGGTTACCAGGCTCTGGGCTGCAATCACCGGGAAGTGACTGTACCGTCCCAGCCCAGGACCCATGTGCCATCAGGAGGCTGGCACTCCTTTACCACTCACACCAGCACTCACATGAATGTCCTAAAAGCATTTTGTTAGGAAAGTGTCTCTGTGACGGCAGTTGCAGTATTGAAAAATCTCTTGAAGATCCTGAGTGTCCTTCTCTCTTCCTCCCCGGAAGAGAATGTCCTCTCTCTGGGAGGCTTCTGTTGCGATGGGAGGCCCTCCTTTCCCCGTGATGGTAGCCGTGTTGTCCTGGGCTAGAACAGCCTTTACAAATCTCAAATAAACCGGGTTCGGTGGCTCAGCCTGTAATCCCGCGCCTTGGGAGGCTGAGGTGAGTGGATTGCCTGAGCCCACGGGTTTGAGACCCGCCTGGGCAACTTGGTGAGACCTCATCTCTACAATAAATCAAAAAATTAGCTGGGTGTGGTAGTGCATGCCTGTAGTTCCAGCTACTTGGAAGGCTGAGGCGGAAGGATCGCCAGAGCCCAGCAGGTCAAGGCTGCGGTGGCCAGGAGCGGCCACTGAACTCCAGTCTGGGCAACAGAGTGAGACTCCAACTCAAAAAACAAACAAACAAACAAAAAGTCTCAAATATCAGCTGGGTGTGGTGGCTCACGCCTATAATCCCAGCACTTTGGGAGGTCAAGGCAGGAGGATTGTTTGAGTCCAGGAGTTTGAGACCAGCCTGGGTGACATGGCAAGACTTTGTCTCTACAAAAAAAAAAAAATGTAAAAAATTTTGGTGCACACCTGTACCTCCTCCCAGCTACTCAGGAGGATGAGGTGGAAGGATAGCCTGAGCCCAGGAGCTGGAGTCTATAGTGAGCCAGGATTGTGCCTGGATGACAGTGTCTCAAATGGTCGACGAAGCCAGTTGCTCTCCTGAGTACAACAGTTATGTTTCTTGCCTTTCAGCCCGAATCCCAGTCATCTCTGGGTTCAGGGTAGAGGCCAGAATATTCTCTGGGTTGCTTGACTCTGCAAGTAAAACTTTAATCTGACAATTAAAAGCAAATCCACTGTTCATGTTCACCTTCACTTCGGAAGGTGGTGAGGAACGAAAGTCTTGGGAGTCACTTCCTCCCCCATGGCTTAAATGCACATTTGTCTGTAGTTGACTGGTCTGTTTCCCTCAAGCCCAGAATTGCTTTGCATTCTCAACCCCTCCTTTTTCTCTCCAGCTAAGAAAAGGAGGCTCAGCCCATGGCCACGTTCATGCTCCTCCGGCCAAGCAGTGAGCTCAGCTGTGGGTGTCAAGGCCAAGTTGGCTCCTCATGAGGCCCTAATTCCCGGCCCATGAGGCCACCTGTGTGACGCTGTCAGCCCTGCTGTCCTGAGATCCAGGAGCCGACTCCGCCCCCTCCATAGGCAGCCTTGAAAGCAGAAGGCCTGACGGGCTTGGGGACTTTGGGGGAGGCTGAGGCCAGAGTGGCAAGAGGAGCCAAGAGTCCCCGGCTAGAGCCTCACAGAGACTTGGAAGGAAAAGTTCATCACTGGAGGAAATTGATTTTCGAATACAAACTGTTAACGATAACAGATTTGGGTTGTGAGGTCCACATATTTACATGACACAAATACATTTAAAGTGCACAGCCAAGTGGCAAAGTGTGCTTTGGCCTATGTGTGTATTCTGGTGCACTTTTGCTGGGAAGGGCTGGGTGCTTTGGAGCAGGGTGTAGGGGCTGAGGGATGTGTAATGCACACCTGCTCTTCTTCCTCTTCTCTGATTGTGGGAACAGGCTGGGGCGTGAGGGCAGAGTCACTATAGCATTTGTGGGGTTTCTCTCTTTCTTTCTTTCTTTTTGAGTCAGAGTCTCACTCCACTGCCCAGGCTGGAGTGCAGTGGCACGCTCATGGCCACCCCAGCATCCACCTGCTGGGCTCAGTAGATCCTTCCACCTCAGCCCCCAAGTAGCCAGAACTATAGACGTGCACTTCCATGCCCGGCTAATTTTTTTCATTTATTATAGAGACGAGATCTCACCAAGTTGCCCAGGCTGTTCTCAAACCCCTGGGCTCAGGCAATCCTCTCACTTCAGCCTCCCAAAGTGCAGGGATTATAAACTTGAGCCACTGCGCCCAGACTGTGGGGTTTCTTTACCAAGGAGCAGTCAGAGAGCAGAGTTGAAAGGCATGTCTTGATATCTTGGGCAGTATGCATTTATGCATCCAAATTATTGCCAAGAAGAATGTGCTGCCCATGAGTATGCATGTGTGTACACAGGCATATATGTGCAGACAGAGCCATGCAACACAGAAGTACAATTTGAGGCTCCCCCTTAAAATACTCACAGTATTTTTCTCTGTGCCATTGCCTAAATCGCACTTTCTTGGAAGTCCTCTTTGCCTTATATTGCTTACACACCAAGCTGGTGTTCCTTGGAGTTGAGGTCGCATGCATGTGTGAAGTCACCGTCTGCACTGAGCACACAGTGCCTTGGCTGGAAAGCTGAAAGTTAGGTCCGAGGAGCAGCTGAGAACTGTGGACAGATTGTTGGGGCCAGGCCTAGTGTGTCCCTGCCCTTCGGTTGCTCCCCAGTGGCTTTGGAGGGCCTTGCCCTCCCTCCGCACACATGCACACACATGCACACTCAGTCTCTTTCTCAGTGCAGGACGCGATCCAGGGCTCTCCTCCACGTGTGCCTCTCTTTGGGTCTTTGGGCAGGAGGCTCTGGGAGCTGCACATGGGTCACGCATGTCTCAGGCGTCTTCCGGATTCTCCCCCGCTCCTGTGCAGGACAACCATGACAGGGAGTTGCAGGAGCTGAGGCAGCTACAGCGTCTGAAGGAGCTGGAGCAGAAGCGGCGCTCCTGGGCATCTGGTGAGCTGGGGGCCTTTGGCCGGAGCAGCAGTGAGAACGACGTGGAGCTGCTGACCAAGAGGGGTGCGGAGGACCTGCCACCTTTCCTGCGCCCCAGGCCCATCAGCCCCTCCTACCGGCCCCCCAACACCCGCCGCTTCCGCCTCTCCCTGGATACCGCTGCTGACCGCGAGCTGCTGACCTTCCTGGAGAGCGCCACCCGCCGTCCCGAGGAGCCCACCAAGTTCAACAGCTTGCCCCGGAGCAGCCCCCGGCAGCCCCGGCCCACGCTGGCCTGGATGGAGCCTAGGGAACCACGGGACCACGACTCCAACTTTGCCGGCAAACCTCAGGCCTCGGAGGGCCAGGAGAAAGCTTCCAGCCCACCCTCTGCTTGGCAGCGCCAGCCTCCAGCCTCCCGGCTTGAGGACCCTGCCTCCGCCCTCCTCCGAGTTCAGCGCAAGGGGGTCAGCACCCTTCTAAAGAGGAATAGCGAACCTGTGGGTTTGGGACCCAGACAGTGTCCCTCGCCATTGGCTCTGGGGGTGAAGGAGCATGAGCTGGTGACAGGGCTGGCCCAGTTTAACCTCCAGGGTTCCCAGGCCCTAGAGGACACAGCTCAGCTGACCTCAAGTGACTCCAGCCCAGTGGAGATGGAGTCTCTGGGGGATGGGAGTCCACAGCCCCTCAGTGCCAGCAATGGCAGCCTGGCACCCACAGACAGAGGTGCCCAGGGGAGGAGTCTCAGCCCAGCCCCAGGGGATGGCAGAGCTGCCCCTGACCAGCCCAGCCATGCAGCCCCTGTGTCCATGGATGGCAGCGACTCTGAGAACAAAGACCTGGGCCCTGTGTTTTACATCTCAGATGCCACCGACTGCTCGCTGACCCTGGACTGCTCAGAGGGCACCGACTCCAGACCTGGAGGTGGGGAACCACAGGAAGGGGGGCAGGGGGAGGTCTCCATGTCCTCTGGAACTGGGGAGATGGGGGGCAGTCAGGTATCCTCCAGCCCCGCTGAGGAAATGCCAGCCCCCGGCTCTGTGAAGAGTGAGCCCAGCTGCAAGAGCGGCCCTCCCAGGGACAGGTCCGTCAAAGGCAAGGATGTGACAACTCCCAAGAGGAACTCCTTCAAGGATGCATCTCTGGTGGCCTCTAAGCCCGGAAGTGCCCGGAGGAGCCTGGGGGCAGCTCCCAAGTCCGTGCGCACGCTGACGGCCTCGGAGAATGCCAGCATGCGCAAGGTCGTGCCCATCTCCAGGTCCAGCCGGGACTCGGGGGGCTGGAGACGGCCAGAGCCCTCCTCGCGGGTGCTCCCACGGGAGCCCCCCAGCAGCACAGACACACCCTGGTCACGCCGGAGCTCCGTGAGGGGGACCTCGGACACGTCGCCCAGGAGGCCATCTGTGGAGTCTGAGGAGCAGAGGACACCGCGGTGGAGCGGTTCTAGCAGTGCCCGCCCTGGGAGGGAGCCCCCCCTGCAGCACAAGGGCTCCTTTAAGAAACCCAGCGCCAAGCCCCTCAGGAACGTCCCCAGACAGAAGCCCGAAGAAAACAAGATCTGCTGCCCCAGCTCCCAGGGTCTCGAGAGCCCCAAAGAGGAGCCCAAGACGCCGCCGGCCCCCAGCGTCCCCCGGGCCCCAACCTCCGTCCCTAGCTTTGCCCGGAGCACTGTGGCCTCCTCATCTCGGTCCATGAGGCCGGATCCCCTTCCTGGGGCCAGAACCCCTGGCATCTCTCGGACAGTCTCACAGCGACAGCTGAGGGTGAAGGGGGGCCCCGAGGACACCTTCCTTAAGGACAGCGGCACCCTGAGGCGAGCCAGCAGTGCCCGGTCACCCAAGAAGGGCCCAGAGTCCACTGAGGGCCCCAGTGCCAACACGGAGTCCCCTCTAAAGGGCAAAGGGGACGGGGAGAGGGCCTCCTTCAGACAGAAGGATTCCAGTCGAACCTCGCTGGGGAAAATCCTCACCCCCTTGTGTAAGTGATCGGTGCCCTCCTCTTCTGCCTCCTGGGACTCAGAGAGTGAGTACTGACCTTGGAGTGAAGAAGCAGCACTGGACGTCTTCATTGCACATCCAGTGGCCCACTGGTGCCAGTGGTCTTGTCCCGAAGATACAGTCTGGGAGAGCATAGGCCACTGCCTGCTGAGCTGACTTCTGTGCAAACCCAGCATGCATGGCCAGTCACTACTGTGATGATCAGCCCCTCCCTCACACCCCGACCCCAGCTCCAACTCCCTCCCCAGAGCAAAGGCCATGTGAAAGACTGATGGACATGCAAGGGGATATTTTTATGTAACAAGTTAAAACAATTTTTTCTGGCCAGTTTTTTTTAATCTCTAAGACTTATTTTTAATATTATAAACATTAAATATTGTTATAGTTTTGGTTCCTTCTGTAGAGTGAAATGCCTCCCAGGAAAAAAAGGATCCTTAATCTGAAGGTATCAGAATGTTTCCTGGCCTCAGGGGTCCACCTGCCCATGCAGCCACTGCGCATGGCTGGCAGTTGGACTTGTCTGCAAGCCTCCCGGGGGGCTCCAGCCCCAAAGGCCTCTCTGGCTTGCTCATTTCTCCCTGCATGACTCAGTGAGGCTTTGAGAGTGAACAGGAGGGAAAGTCAGGCTTGGGTGGACAGAAGTCCAAAGCTCTGTGTGGTCAGGGTGGATATTGTGGGCAGGGACGTGAGCCTGGGGACGTGGGGCTGGCTTCCCCACGGTGGATGGCAGCCCTGCAGAATGCCACCTTCTCCAGAGTGTAGAAGGGCTGGATCTACACGAGCAGGCATCCAGGCTGGCCAGTAGAGCATGTCCTTCCAAGTCCATGTTTCCCACTCGTGCATCTCTTATAAAATGGAGTGAAGGCTGCTATGACCTGTGTCCAATCTGGTTGCAGGGAAGGGAAATCCCTTCTGTCTCCCAGTCTGTCTTCTCCCCGTCTCCTCTCTCTGCTTGCTCTCAGCCCTCTCTTCCTTTCTAATATGCCCTGGAGAGTCTCGTCTGTCCCCCATTGTTACTTGTCAACGCTGACATCTCTTCCTCCTTAGTACAGTGGTTTTTAAACCCTGAGAAAAACTAAATCAGGTTTTTAAAAGCAGACCAAAAAAGAAAAGTGAAACTGCATCAGGAAAAACTGGGAGGAGGGATCAGTCTTTATTCAAAAAGAAAATATGTACTTTTTCTACCCAAACCTTATTTTACTACTTTGCTCTGAAACTAATTGGGAAATGGGGAAATTCTTGAAACTTTTTTGTTTTCTAAAAGTTTCCCTCCTCTCCTATTTTTTCCATTTGGCTCATTATTAGTTAAACACCACTTTAAATCCAGCGTGGGCAGGTGGATGGATTTAGGTAAATGTGATGCGTTTCCAGTGAACCCATGTAGATAAGGTCACAGTTCCCCTCCTATAGGTTGTTGCCTTTCATCCAGCTTCACTGGAAACTCTGAGCTTCTGTTAGTCAGCAGGATGTCAAAGGTAAACGTGGTTGAAGTGAGATACCTGACCACAAAGCCTCTTGTACAGACAACCCTGAATCGTCTTTCCAGGGCTCCACGAAGATGCTCATGGCAAGAAGTCATAGATTTAGCCAGGCAGACAAAAACCTTCAGACTGTAGGATTCATAGGTGGGTGGAGAGTGATGGAAGTGGCATAAGCTTGTGGAGACTGGAGGGGTTGGGACTCCTTGGAGGGACGCTGGGCATCCAACTCCCAGGCCCTGCCCTATTGCTGATGCTGTGTGACTTTGGCAAGTCACCCCATCTCCCTGCCTCTGTTTCCCAGTCCACAGCCTCCATGATGGTCTCCAAGGGTCCTTCCAACACCAAGAGTCCAAGTCACATGAACAACCAAGGACCCATCTCTGCCCCAGCTTCTTAGAATCCACCCCCGGTGTCTTTAACGCAAAGCCCTCACTTCCAGGGCTGCTCAGATGAAAGCCCCTTCCAATGAGTTGTTGCTGGAAAATCTCACCAGCCGAGTTTCCTGGGAACCAGTGCTCTCCTTAGCCCTGTGGACAACTTCTGTGTGCATCTGTGTGAGCAGGTGATCATTCTATTACCTTTTATTGGTAGTAAGCTTGGAAAAATAATTTAAGTATATAATGGAGAAATGTAAATAAGTTTCTATGTAAATTTGTTCAAGATGAACTGAATGTATTTAAGGGTCCATTTATATGTTCTTTTATGTAACATGTAGTTTAATAAATTCCTGTTTATGGGAGTTGTGTTTTCTCTTGGCTGCTCCTGTGGGTGAGACCGTGTGATCCTGCTGGAAGGGTCCAGTTTCTTGACCAGAGACAGGCTGGGATGCAGGGGGGGGGTGGGGGGGAATTGCCCTCTGCAGGCTGGAGAGCCAGCATGAGGCTGTTGGCTGTGTGTCTTCTTGATAGCACAGACTTGCACTTTTTTTCTTTATTTCAATAGGTTTAGGGGGTACAAATAGCTTTTGGTCTGGGCTTTAAGTGTACCCACCACCATTACCTGTGTACGTGGAATACAATTCAGCCACCAAAAAGAATGAAATAATGTCTTTTGCAGCCACTTGGATGGAATTGGAGACCATCATCCTAAGTGAACTAAGGAACAGAAAACCAAACCCTGCATGTTCTCACTTACAGGTGGTAGCTAAACTAAGGACCTGCAAAGGCAGAGAGAATGGAATAATGGACACTGGAGACTCAGAAGGGGGAGGAGGTTAGGGTGGAGGGACGATAAATCACCTATTGGGTGCAAGGACCAGCGCCCAGGAAGCAGGCCTTGCCCTGGCCTGTGCAGACACGAGTCAGCCTCTGACATGCAGGCTGGCGATGGAGCCGGCGGCTTACATCATTCCACATTGGCCCGGGCTCTGTCACCTCTGTGGTCCCAGCAAGTCTGGGTCTGCTTCTCGTGGCCTGCATTCTGGCTCAGGTCACCATTAGGAAATTGCAGCTCACTGCTGTGACTGGCTCAGGAATGTGCAGAGAGGGAGGGAGGTGTTGCTTTATCTGAAATGCAGTGAGGAGGCATGCGGGGGAGCCAAAATAATGTAGACACATTTTAAGAGACACTATCTATATTACTTTTAGTTCACCATAATCAGAAGTTTCTGGACACTTTGAGCACCTCTTGTAATTGCAGAAGCCAAATGTGATTTGTTATCAGTATACATTATTACAATTTTAATACCGTTCTTTCCTTTCTTAAAATGTGCATCCATTTTTTGGCACCCTCTGTATTTGAAAAGAAAGGGGGATGATTCTTCAGAGGTGCCTCATACCTCAGGTTTTATATCACATTTCAGTCCCAGCTACTTTCCTGCTTTTTCTGAAGTGAGTTACAAGGACATCCCTGGGTCAGACATCAACGGATAAGAGTAGATGTTAACCTGGTTTTGCCTGTGTTATACGCAATCTGGAGGGTCGGGCGTGGTGACTCATGCTTTGGAAGGCTGAGGTGGGAGGATCACTTGAGGCCAGGAGTTTGAGACCAACCTGTGCAATCGAGCAAGACCCTGTCTCTACAAAAAAAAAAAAGTAAATAAGCAAGTTGGGCCAGCAGACTCCTTCCTACACCTTTAATCTTGCTGTTTAAGGGGTTACTCACATAAACCTAAAGAAAAAAGGCTTTTTAATTTTTCCAGCGGGTTTCACATGATTTTATTGCTACCTTTTTATTTTATGGCTTTCACAAAGAGCCTGTGTTTCAGTCCTCCTCCTCAACACTCTCACTGAATTAAAGGGGCCACCATTTCCTAATTGCTCATTCACGTATTCTGCATATTGATGTGTCACGGGAGACACCAGGAGAATGTTGTTAGAACTATGTTGTTGTTTTTTTGAGTCGGAGTCTCACTCTGTTGCCCAGGCTGAAGTGCAGTGGCACGCTCACAGCTACCCCAGTGTCAACCTGCTGGGCTCAGGCAATCCTTCTGCCTCAGCCCTCCAAACAGCTGGAACTACAGGCACGCACTACCACAGCCGGCTAATTTTTTGATTTATTGTAGAGACAAGGTCTTGCCAAGTTGCCCAGCCTGTTCTTAGACCTGTGGACTCAGGCAATCCCCTCACCTCAGCCTCCCAAAGTGCTGGGACTACACAGTCTTGAGCCACTGTGCCCGGCCTGTTACAACTATTAATTCGCATTCCACAGTAAGCACGGCATGACCTTCTACTTCGAAAGGGGGCAGGATCCCTCCCCCACCTCCTCCCATCTGGCAATGACGTCATTTTGCAAATTTTACAGAATTTTCCATTGAAATGTAAATTTTATTCTTAGTTCATTATACTTTTGCTTCATGCTCCAGCCCTCCAAAAAAAACGAGAGAGACTTTTTTTGGTATGTGCCCCCAAATACATTTAAGCATCAAATATTTAAACCAAATTTGAATAAAGGACATTGCATCGGGGCACCCAGTAAGTATTTCTCTTTTTTTTTGAGTTGGAGTCTCACTCTGTCGCCCAGACTGGAGTGCAGTGGCCGCTCCCAGCCACCGCAGCCTCGACCTGCTCGACTCCGGCAATCCTTTCGCCTCAGCCTTCCATGTAGCTGGAACTACAGGCGCACGCTACCACACCCGGCTAATTTTTTGATTTATTGTAGAGATGAGGTCTTGCTTGCCCAGGCAGGTCTCGAACCTGCAGGCTCAGGCAATCCACTCACCTCAGCCTCCCAAGGCGCGGGATAAGTACTTCTTAAAATAATTTAGACTATAAGCACAAAACAGAGCACAGTGGGTCTGCAGAATCATCCTACTTGGCGTCTATGGGGTGACAGAACCCCTGGCAGGGCCAAGCAACATCCCCTGGGGGCTTTTTCAGCCACTGACATCTCCCAGTTAAAATGTCCATTGGTTCACTGGATCACCGAAGTGAAGACAAGAGTCACTTTGCTGTAGTTGAAGAAAAGGACGTTTCTATCTTCCAGGCCAGAGTCTGCAGTGGGCTTTTGGTTTCCTGGTTGGAAGGTAGGACAATTGGACTCACTGGGGGAAGGGCCATGGCCCCAGGC